GTGTGACTTTCGTTTCGAAGTACAGAGACTACCGTGATCCCCCCTTTCCCAAGTGCCTTTCTCCCACCGAAACAAGATCCATATACACAATAAATAAACGTGATTCACCATTAAATATTGGCTGTCCTTTATGTCATTTCATACTGAGGCTCTTCTGAAATATACTTTGGAACATCACACTTGTGGGACAGTGGAAGGCGTATAAAAAAGACCCCTTTGGGTTAGAAATTGTCAAGTGATTGAACTCTATAAAACAGGCAAAATCATGCAGTGATGTGTAAAGTCGGCACAAGGTGATTCCAACAGAATTGTGCACACTGTCGTACATGGGCACTGTATGAAGGCAATGGGTTTATGTATGTAAGTACTTCCTGCAGAAACAAAAGCTCCTGTGAAATGCACAGTGTCTGCAATATTGCAATGTCAAAATGGCATTCTCCTGGAACCCAGAGCTGGCAGAGCTCTGAGGAATTAATGACCTCAATCAAGGAGGGGGGGTGGGGAGTGAGCCCATGGGCTGGCTGTGTTTATTAGCTGTCGCACAGCTGTGCCCTGCCCTGGGGTTTCATCAGAGGGGGTTCCTGGGGGATCAAGTGACAGGGTTCTCAGTCAGCACAGCTCCTGCACTCATTAGTTTCTACTGGAGGGAAGAAACAGGGAGGAAGGAAGGAAATATCGGGAGGGGAAGGGTAGAACAAAGCCTTGTGACTTGTGCCTGTGGGCTTGACAAACTCAGGGATGAGATGGAGGAGGCTGACATTGTTTCTTACATTAAATACTCCCACTCCCACTACACAGCAGATGGGTCTGTTTCCTGCTTTTACAGTTTAAATGTAACTGTCTCACTCACAATAAAATCGGGAGCATGACATCAGTTGGCTTATCCAGTCCTTGGTGGGTGGGATGGTTTGACCATGATGCTTGTAGTATGACGCCTGTTATCTCTCAGTGGGGAAGGGAGCAGGGCCATGCAGCTCTTTGTTAAGTCCTGCTAGGATTGGCGTTGAGGCCTCTCTACCCTAAACCCAGATTCATCCTATATACTGTGTTCCCAATGGTCCAATATAGGAGGATAAGGCTTATAAGCATTTCTCAAAACATCAAAGATACTGGAGCACCAGCACTTTTCAGAATTTTGTAACGCTTTTCAGAATACTGTTAAAACATTTTGCATGTTTTACTGTGTTCAATCATTTGCCCCAAACAACACTAAGACTGTTTTATACATAGACACCTGAAAATGACTTCTGCATTAAAACAGAGTTTTAATATTACGACCACTACAAAGGGAAGAAGGTTCTGCTTGTAACAGCTATGATGGCACACTTCTCTAACACATTCCTTTCCTGTCAGTCGTGCCCCAAACCTGCCACTCTGCTTCTGAACACTTCAAGCCCTGCATCTGCCTGTGCAGGAAACCCCTAGAGGCTGGGCTTCAGCAAGTGAGAGAGGACAGCAATGAGAAATGGCTGGATCTGTCTTCAGCACTCAGAATGAATGTGAGATTGCAGTTATGTTTCAGGTATTACGGATGTTGTCATTGGTATAAATGTGATGCTGGGGGCCACCTCTGCAATAAGAACATAATGCAAAGTAAATAAAATGGGATTTCACATCACTGGATTCTAAATGTTTATTTGCTCCAGTTAAAGGAATTTATATTAGGCTTCCTAATGTCTTATTAATACAGAATGCAGCTTATTCTTTACAGTACGAAAACTCTGTCCACTGACTGTAATAATGGAGCTGACTCATATATACTGTAAAACCCTACAATTCAAAAAACGTGAAACACCACATTACCATTGTATGAGAGTTTACATCCAATTTCTGTTCATATTCTCACACAAAGCTACATAACCTGCACACCACAACTTCTCAAAACAATACTTTAATAGTCTGCAACAAAAGGCAGCTGATTGGCTGACGGCCTTTAACAATGTGCAATTTCTGCTACATACCAGGCAACTCGAGATGCCAGTTATACTACAGGAAGGGTAATAGTTGATTTTCAATCCTAAAGGAATCAGTGCCAATATCGAACACACTCTTGAAAGGAAAAAGATTCCAATCTAAAGCTACTGTACCATTCCATGCCAATTCTTAAGGTAACAGAAAAAACTACCAGTTTGTTCACCTGCCACTGCTCTGAAAATGGAACGTTAACCCTTAGACCTCCAGTAAAACTTTAACTTTATTTCAAGTGTGGTGGAACTACTATGCTTTTATTCATGTTTGGGAAGATCATGCAGGTACAGGGACAGCTACTGTGATATTTGAACTTGGCACAGTACCTCCTTCTGTGACATAAGAAAACCTTAAGTGCATTACGTGTACAGCAATCAGGGTCACACAAGAGGTAGGGTGTGCACCATGATTATCATTATGCTATGATTCACTAGGTATGGATTACGAATGTAGAGTGTAGTCAGTGAATGTATGCCACATGAAGTTTGCATGGAGTTTATATGTTCTCCCTGCGTTTGCCTGGGTTTCCTCCAGGTGCTGCAGTTTTAAATAAATTCTGCATTGAGTATATTAATCCAGAGTTAATAATAATACCATTTAATTCGAATTAATGTTAGCCTTTTGTTAGCCTTAATGTTAGTTTTAAAGAAACTCAAAGGGCTGATCTCTACAGTACTGTACATACAGTACCAACCACAGTGTAGGAAAGGATGCCGGAAATTCGTGAGAGAATATATCTGCGGCGTCTGCAGAAAAACCACAATAATTTTTTTCTCGTTAAGTTCATTCATCGGTTTTCGCACAGCTTGCCTCTTGTGACCACAGACGGAGACCTCCGCCCCCCCCCCCAGCACCCCCCTTCCCTTACAGCTCTCTGTCTCTCTCTCTAGATGTCTTTGTCTTCAGAGCTGTGCAGCGCTGGGGTTTCTCTATGGAAACCACAAGCCGAAATCCGAGCGAGGGAAAGCGAAAGTGTGTGTGCACTTCCAGAACGGGTGTGCGGAGGGGAGACCGCCTCTCCCCCCCTCTTTCTCACACGGTCTTTGTGTTCCTACTGCCTCGGCTCCGGTTCTGAGCAGTGCTGCTTCCACACTCTCGCGTTGGATCTCCCCTCCCACACGCTCAAGCCGGGCAACTGCCTTTGCTTCTGACTCAGGCTCACCGGTCCCCTCTTCAGTCCCAGGCACGGCTGCAAGCCAGGAGAGCCCCTGCTCGCTTCGGACACCGCAAGGCGGCTTTATAATCCGTCGAAGTGGACAGAGCGAAGCGGGGAAATCGGTCTAGTCTCTGTGTTTGTACCCCGCTGCCTGCCGGGGTTTCTTTCTCCAGGCTCGGCGGAAAAAAAAAAAAGCACAGCTTGATGACCAGAGGCACCGGGAGCAGCGATTACAGCCGCAGACGGACGCACCGCAGAGAGCTGCTCGTGTTTTAAATGAGATAGACGTTTTTGTCTTCGGGTTTGGGGAAACAAAACAAAAAACAATAAAGGTGAGACATTTCTTCTGTTTCTGTCACGAATTTCTGTAGACCTGCACGCTGCCTGCCTGTCTGACAGACGCCGTTAGAGCGTGCTCTGCTGAAGGATGAACAGTTCCTATTTTTAAATGATGTGCCCTTTGTAACAGCGTGCTGGACACACACTGCAGGTTTACAATAGTTTCGGACGATAGTGCATTTGAAGCGAATGCCGATCTGACCTACTTTTGCCATTGAAGGGTGTTATCTCTTCAAAATATTTCACTCCCTTTATTTTTACTGAATGGGGGTGTCAAACTGTTATCAGCAATATTCCGTCGTACCAATTTTACACTTCATTCTTGCCTCGTTGAATTCTCAGAAATGGTTTGTTTAGATCTGATGCAGTGATGGGTATCCACGACCATGATTATGGATTTTATAGCCTAAATAAATTAGTATATGCTTTTTTTTATTGCAAGGCCAGCTTTGGTCTTTTCCAGTTAGGAACGTGAAACACGTTATCCAAACTGTTCAAGTGGCGTACAGTAAGTCGATAATGTGTTTGGCAGACACCAAAACGTAACAATTTGTTTTCAATTGTTACCGAGATGAGGCGGCCCGTAAAATAAAACTTCCAGCGCACAGGTATCGATTTGCAGTGGAACAGACGGTTTAAAAGGGGCAGGGATCGGGCTTCATTTGCGATGCGATATTCTTCACTGCGACCAGCCCGTCGCTCAGCCGATGGAAAGCGCAGGTGATCCAGGAGCGAAGTGGGCAGAGGCGAGACGGCAGTGGGGTTAGAATTGAAACCCATCACACGTCCCCCGCCTGGGAAGTGGCCGTCCACAGATTCCGGGATGGCCAGGAGATTAACCCCTCTGTCTCGCTGGAATCCTACACACAGCCCGCATCCCCTCGTTTTCGCTGCTCATAAATCCGTTCCAGCTCATGACAGGTTTCCGCTGTTAAAGACCTGAGACAACAGTTTATTAAGATGCAATTCCATTGGCGGTGACCCCGCGGAAGGCTTTAGTGCGGTGTAGTCTAGTCTTGGAAGGTAATTGCAGTGTTTCTACATGCTCGGTAGTGGTTTGTACAAAGCATGGTCAAGCGAGGGGTTCAGATTGACTCAATACGCTATGTGCTTGTGTGTCAGAGAGGAGTCTGCATTCCGTCAGTGAAGATGAGGCAGCAGTAGGAGAGGAAGCTATTTGGCTTGTGAGTTTCTTTCATCACAGTTTGAAAAATAGTGCACCTCTTTGCCGATTTATACTGCAGGATTTTTTTTTTGCCGTGTTCGTGATGTGGTTCTTCCTTGTTCTTTTAACAGTATGTACTAGTTCTTCTGTTACGTTCATTGCGTTTCAGGTTCATGTATTCTTTGAGTTCTTCTGCATAGCTTTTATACCGAGCTACCGGTACCACATACCGCTACATGTGAAAAGCTGTTCGCTAGTTTTCCAGCACGCATTACAATTTTAATTTCTATATCGTTACGCAAATCAGTCGGCTTCAATTTGTGACGACTTTTAAAGCAAAACATGGTTAAAGAATAAATATCCCCTAAAACAGTTGCCTTGAATGGGTGCAGGTCTTTCCGGAAATTCAGATTGCTCTCTAGTGAGCTGGTGATAAATGTTATTTTCTTTTAATTGCCATGTGAATCTGTGAAACTCATCATTACTAGCATTTGAACATTGTGACTAATAAACTTAATAAATAATATGGATATCTGCAGGGGGATTACATTTCAAAAGTATGGAAAACCACACAGGAGAGTACTCTACTTTTCTCGTTGTTCCAATGTATAAGTGGTAATAACTTGATTGTTTATGTTGTAATGAAGTTGACTCACCCACCAGAGATGAAACTACTGTAGGAGCTAAAATCACCTAGCTCACTAGGATCATGGTAGCCTGGGGCAAGAGATGCAATATTGTATCTCGGTATCATGCAATTAGAATCCCACTCCTGCCCAATTAAAATCCCACTCCTGCCCAGTGCAGTGTAGTTGAATTGGTGAGTATACTTCACAGGTATGGACAGTACTGCAGGCTACACCCCTTTGGTTCACAAAATATGTTCTTGCACCCCTTATCAAAGGGTGACAATTTATAGTTGCACAATGCTCTACTTCATAATGCTTGTAGCTAATGTTTTTTTCCAAAACCACTCGCAAATCACACATTAACTCGATCAACAAATATTCATTCTCGAAACAATCATGTACTTACGTGGGCTGCTGTGCTGTTACAGTCCATTATGGATTAATCGTTTAATGTCACAGTTACCACATGTCGAGGACATTGTGTTCAGGTCTGCACACCTAAAAGGAAGGATAACTAGACTTAATTATGCACTGCAAGACATGTGTTTATTACCAAAATCTTCAATGATATGAACTATAAAACAGACTGAGTATGGCAGAGTTTTATGAAGGCAATGGCTAGGAATTAAACAGACTGGCTATATCAGGGGCCAGATGTTTGTGATGGAGAAGCCGGATATTGAACAGACTGGGTATCTCACTTGTCTTATGTTAGAGGTGGGAATGAAGGCTATTAAAGAGCTCTGCAAGTCATGCATTTCTTCTCACATCAAAGTTCTAGTACAGTTAGCTAGTGAGAGAAAAAGACAGCAGATGTAATGAGTTAAAGACATATTTATTACAGATTTGCCTGTGTTTTTCCTCTGGAATGCAAATGTCTTTTCTTCTTAGCACATACTGTATGAGTAAATAACAATCATGAAGTGGTGAGTCATAATTGAAGAACAGCAGCACCATTTAAAAGCTGCTTCTATGTGCAAAACCTGAAGTGGAGGAGAGAAAGGCACATGGATATCAGGGTTGTGGAACTGAGCTGTGGAGGAGAGGTGAATTGAGACAAGTGTTTGTTTTTGTTTTATTTTTGTTATTAGCTAGCGTAAATAAGTTGTAGGAGCAGGTAGGGGGTACCTTTTATAGATTCTGCTCTTGAGTTTCTTGAGGTTATTAATTTTCTTAAGAGGCTAACAGGACATTGCCTCAACCACTTTTGTAAGTTAAGTGGTAAAGGGAATTCAGCTGAAAAATATCTCTCCTTCACCACACGGTGTCTTTGGAAGAGAAGCCACTTTTCCCTTCTTCTTTGAAGGAAAATGTTCCTCTCCTTCTGTCTCTGTGCTCCACTTCCCTCTTTGTTCATTTGCTTCCACCTACAATAGGCAAGCCAGTGCTTTCAGGCAAAAGGCCTGACTTTGTTTAACTCCCCAGCTCACTCTTGAAAGACAAACAAGCCTCAGTGGATAGAAAGGCCTTCTTTTCCTATAGAAACATCTTTGTGTGTTTAATCAACTAGCACTTTGGGGTGTCAGCTCCCATATCCTGCTTGGGAAAAGCAATGTTTTCATCTTGTGCGAATCTCATCTTTTGTTCTTGTAAAGTAGCTCAAAGGAAACGAAGCAAGTCTTAATGGACGGAATGCCCTTATGCCTGTAGAATTGCTTTTATAGATCTTAGAAAAAGCCTTCAAGGGGCTTAGAGTCTTCAGTGAGCTGAATTTCCTCCCTGTCATTCAAATAATTCCCTTTGTTCTCATAAGCATGCTCTGAGGGTATGGGGAATACTCTCCAGACTGCTTTGTCTTTTCTCACTCCAAATCGTTCTGACACCCACGAGCTCCTGTGGTGTGAACACTTCTCAGGGGCTCAAATTGTCATGTCACGGGCAGACCTACCTTACCGGGCTTTGGAAACGTGTTTACCTCCTGCTCCACATTTGGATCAGCAGCAGTCTATTTTAAATGACTTCTTAATATGCTCATGAAAATGGAAAGGATGGTCCTGATTTGATGTCTCACTTTTTGTTTTGCTTTTGCATTTCTCATCAAATAATTTTAATGAAATTTAAGCAAAGTACACTCATAAAAATAATTGTTAGAGAAAGGCCTTACAACAGTGCGAAACGTTGCCCTTTTTGGGGGGTCATTTCTGCTTTTGTTGTTTCAGAATCTCATTTTCTTTATACCTCCTACCTCTCTGACATCTTAATTAGGCCTCAGCTGGCAGGATTAGAAGATAATAGTCAGGAGGGTAATACCTAGTAATGCAGTACGTTTCGTTAATGACTGCTCAGTGTAAAGAAAGCTGTCAGCTGCCCATGTCAGGGACTGAGGGGTTATCACTGTCCAATTTGGGATCAAACTCAGGTCATCATATAGTCCCAGACTCCCTGAGGGATACAGGCCATGCTGCCTCTTGCCACCTTTACCATGCAAAAACACAATGACATTTAGCTTTTTCTGACTTTCTCTATACCTTGCAAGATGAATATTTGTAGGCCTCTTCAGGATTGTGTAATGGTGCCTGCATCACTATTCACAGGTGGGAATGTATGTAAAAACACATTACGTGTGTCTACACATGGAGTACAGCAGATTAATGCAAAGACACATTATCAATGTCTTGAAGTGTTTTATGTACATTGTCTCCCTTTGTCTGCATCAGTTTTAAAAGTTCTAGCCAGAGCCGCTTTTCAGAGGAGCATTGCAGTGAGTATGCAATTTCGAAATATGAAGGAAATTCAGAACACAGAATCATAGCAGGGTGGATTTGCAGACATGTTGTGTGAGCTCTTCCTGGTGCGCTTGTAGATGAGCTGGTGGATGGCGTATAACTAGATTTGTGGTTTCAGATTGATCCTTGCTGGACATCGCCATGATTTCTCCTAAAGACAAGCCCAAAAAGAAGCCTCCCAAAGACAGCTTGACACTTCTGCCATGCTTCTATTTTGTGGAGGTGGGTAGCCTTCTGATCTACACTGCAGCATTGTTTCAGAATACAGTTAATGATGGTGAGTTGTGGCAGCAGCCAGATGTGGTGGTCAGCATTCCTGCCTTGCAATGCTGGGAACCCTGGTGCAGTTCCTGGCCTGCTTTTTTGTATGCACTCCCCTTATTTATGGGGGTTTGCTCTGGGTGCTCAGTTTCCTCCCACAATCCGAGGACATACTGGTAGTGTGATTTTTGGGGGGAAACCTCGCCTTGATGTTTGTGAGTTTGTGCCTACAGTATGTGTGTGTCTGTGTGTCTGGGTTTCTCCTGCTTTGCGCCTGTTGCTTACTGGAACAGGCTCCAGCTTCCTGTGCTGGATAAAGCAGATAGAAAATGGAAGGATGGATGGAAGGATTGTGGGTTGTTTAAAGGCTCCTTGAAGACTTAACCCCAAGGAACTCACTCTTACCTTTATTTAATATTTAAGGAACTCTAAAAATGGCACCGAAAGCCTTAAATATTGAATAAAAGCAATGCAAGGTCACCTTTCTCTTCCTGCCACAATATAATCATAACGCATTGAGCATTGCAAAGCAGAATGATAAACAAGTTCCAAGCCCTTCATGGCTAAATGGTGCCATTTCTTTTACTTCAACTTCTGTTTTGGACATCTCCTTTATTTATTAAGAAAACCTGAAGGTGTAGGTATTATCTTCTTTATCCTCTCAAGCAAGGCATTTTTTTACTGTAGATCCTAGACTGTAAATCCATATACGTATTCAGATAAGGGACCACAAGCCTGGTTCAACAAGTAGAAGATAAATTTGTTCAACAAACTGGACCGTGGGCACTATTTTGGAGCAGTTGAAGACAATACACATTAGGTGGCGATACGAGTATCACTATCCACCAGAAGGAGTGAGAATCTGTTTTATGGTGATCTCTTGAGTTATAGTCCGGTTTATTGCAAGCTGTAATGCTTAAATTGATTTGTGGGGCCGTGTTGTTTAGACATTCTCTTTTCTTTGTCTCTCTAGTAATAACAAAATGAATTTTGTTAGATAAAAGTAATAAACCCATGTCAGTTGCCCCTCTATCAGCATGGGCAGGGGTGTTGATTCTAGTGGCATCCTGCCATTAACTACAGAACCTGAGCTAAGAACCTTACTGTTCTTGCTGCAGTTAAAATTATAATGTCTTCCAATTTCTCTCTGAGTGTTTCAGAGCTCAGAGTGTCTTCCCACAGTCAGGATCACCCTCTGGGATGCTTCTCTTTCTTTTCTTTATGAAATCTTTTGCTCTTCTCATACTTTCAGCCCCCCTAGTGCAGGGCGACCAGGTCCTGGTGAGCCTCAGTCCTGCAGGTCTTGTAGGTACACTTCATCTCTACAGGCCTGGAACAATTTTACTACTAGTAGTTAAAGAGGTGTGGGTTCAATTGAGTAACTTAGAGCTCATTGAGAACAAAAATCAGAATCCTTCAGACTCTGGGGTCCTCACTGAACACCCATCCATCCATTTCTAACAGCTTTTTCCAATTCAGGGTCATGGGGGAGCCACAGACTGTCTTGGTAAGCAACTGGCGCAAGGCAGGGTACAGCCTGGAAGGGATGCCAGTCCATTGCAGGGCACACACAGACACACTCACACCAAGGCCGGTTTTCCCAGATGCCAAGTAACCTGCCAGTATGTCTTTGGACTGTGTAAGGCAACAGGAGCACCCAGAGTAAAATCCACACGCACCTGGGGAGAATATCCAAACACCACGCAGATAGTGTCCCAGATCCAGGTTTGAACTCACAGCCCCAGCACTGTGAGGAAGCATACGGGCATACAAATACAGTGGTTAAGCCCACTGAGCTTCACCTGAAGAAAGTGACACCAGAAGAAGCACCTGAAGGTTCCACAGCCAAGATATTGTGTCTCTTTTCGTTTCGCCATGGAATAAACCTTTACTTGCCCCTTACAGCCTGCACATGGTGATGCAGCTACCTACTTGAAGTTCCTCATTGAATCATTACCTGCTTAACAGATCAATTGTTTAAACGAGTGTTCCCAACTCCTCCCTGGTGCCCATTGATTGCTTTCCCGTGACCCTATACTGGATGAAGCGCTTAGAAAATGGATGGATGCAAGTGTTCCTAATCTTCAAATAATGGCCGATCTAGGGTGAACTATAGGAGTAGCCGCACTGGAGCTCTTTGAGAACAGGGATGGAGATCCCTGCCCCAGTGACTGTGGCAGTAATTGAAGGGAGGGGGTTTATGAAAGAGCCTCACCCTCCTGACATTCTCTCTCTGTCAGCTCCCGATCGTGGCCTCCTCCATGGTGTCCCTGTATTTCCTGGAGCTCACGGACCTCCTGCAGCCGGCTCAGGTGGGCTTCCGGTGCCACGACCGCTCCCTGAGCATGCCCTACGTGGAGGGCGGCGACGAGCTCATCCCCCTCCTCATGCTGCTCAGCCTGGCCTTCGCCGGCCCCGCTGCCTCCGTGAGTACCTGCCCACACCCTGGGCCAGAAGCCGGCCGAATCCCCCCCCCCAACTCTCTAGTGTCGTGTAGATAACAAGAACAAGGCAGAGTTTTCCGCACACACACGAGCCGAATAAAGTAGAGAACAACCGCACCTGGGTTTCTGGGAATAAGACGTGTGACAGGCCTACTTCTCCTCACATGAGACCTAAGTGCACGGACAAACCACACCGGAAAGAAAGAAGTATACTGTGCCAAGAGAATTTATTTGAGTAAAGTCCTTCAACGTACTCACAAAAGAAACATCTACTCTAACAACCAGCGACGTGAATCCCTGTTCAAAGCTATTCTGGATTAAAGCCATCACCAGGTATCCGATTGACTACTTCACCTCACGTGAATCTATTTACACAATACAGGACTAAGTGGCTTCTAGTGGCAGGTCAGTTGAAGCTACTAAGGCGCCGGCTGCTAACCTGCCATGAAAGAGACAAATCGTTTAACGGATAATGCAAACCGTCCTTACCCTAACTGAGTCCTCCGGGCTGCGTGCTGTGTTCTTCTCTGCCAGATCATGATGGGAGAGGGCCTGGTCTACTGCATGCAGTCCCGCCTGAAGCTGCGGCCTGGAGCTGAGGGCAGCATCAACGCGGGGGGCTGCAATTTTAACTCCTTCCTGCGGAGAACAGTACGCTTCGTGGGTAAGGAGACCCTCCCTCAAGCCTCTGTAACCCTATGTCCAAAGTCAAATGGATATTTGAGATGTAGATAACAATATCTGCATCTGCACAGACAAACAATATCAATGTATGCATGTATGCACAAATGACTGCATGTCTTTATGTAGTACAGACCATCACATTAAAGCACATTATAAGATTTATAATTATAAAAATTCTGTACAACCTGTTATTGGAACATGTGTAAATATATATAGAAAAATGTACCTTTACAATATTGCAATATTGTATTTTTTGTCATCATTATCAATACAATAAATAAACTGGATAAATTAATTGCCATGGGCATCATGGTAGTGTGGTGATCAGCACTGCTGCCTCACAGCCCCAGGGTCCACACAATTCCAGCTTGGAGCACCAGTCTAGGGGGAGCTGGCATGTTCTCTCTCAGCTATTCTAACTTGGCCGGATCTTCGTGGCCCTGTGGGTTGGGTAGGAACTTCGATAGACTCCAGTTTCCGGAAAAAGGTTAGGAAAAAACGAACTGCTGTAGATGTTGTACTTCCTTAGAGGGTTCATTATTTTCTGGTCTGGTTTTATGTCTGATTTATTTCTTTGAAGTTAGAAGATAAGAAACTTCCCATAATGTGTCTGCCAGCCCTCCAGACATGGAGTTATCACTGTTATCTGTCCTTCTCTCCCAGGTGTGCATGTTTTTGGGCTCTGTGCCACAGCCCTGGTGACTGATGTGATCCAGTTAGCCACAGGTTATCATGCTCCATTCTTCCTGACTGTCTGCAAACCCAACTACACCCTGCCAGGCATTTCCTGCGACACCAACCCCTACATCACTCGGGACATCTGCTCTGGGCAAGACCAGCACGCCATCCTCACTGCCAGGTAACTGCTGCAGCCTTCTGCTTCAGATACAGCTGATACACCAGGTGCACTATCTTCATAATATGAGCCATTTGATCACATTTATTGTGTTTTTTATAGGCACTAATATCCACACTTTGAAAACATTTCAGCAAAAAAAATCATACCGAGAATTGTACCCGTGCTATCGTGACTTGGGATATGACGACGTGAATCTAATTGAAATCTGACATATTACAGTGCTGCTGTAAGTCTTTGAAGTGACATAGCAGTTCTGATATACAGTAGCTAAAGATGCAGATATTTACATTTTTCACAGTGCTGAATGATATTAATTAAATTGGGTTCTGGGGTTATGAGCTGTCACAATGTAAAACACTATCATCTCCAGTGATATTATGCTAAGATGGTCACGTTATGCACCCTCTCAGGGGTACTTAAATGTGCTGTCAGTCCTTACTAAGAGGAGTACCATCTCATAGCCTTGTCAAGTCCTTGAAATTGGGGTTTCTGCCTATAATTCCACAATGCACAAAAGCTTGCTTACACGCCAAGAATGGTCTTAATGAAGAATATATCCACAGCTTATCAAAAGTGCAGCTCTGCTATTCAGCAGTTTTATCCCAGGGCATGGGCATCCAGCTGTGTTCGACACTGTTCTGCCAGCCTGCTGCTTGCTTGCTGCAAGGGTTTGTCATGTGTGCACTGCAGGTATTCTAATTGATGCTATCAGATGGTATACACCCTCAGCACAGATTCTGCATTAACCATAGGTTTGCTCACACTCGTATCAGTTGTACTTGACTACCTCCTAACTCCTGAGTTTTTCTTATTCACTTGGCATTGACTTGTTGAGGATCAGTTCAGCGGTGGTTTGAAAATAATGAATATTAGCATTTGTTTGAAATACAGATTGATTGTATTGGCTCTCTCTCCCCAGCAATTCTTAATACAGCCTCTTTTTTTACCACAGGAAGACTTTCCCTTCCCAGCATGCCACTCTCTCTGCCTTTGCTGCTGTCTATGTGTCAGTAAGTACTGTCAGGCTGTCTTGTCCGTTATCTTTGGCCTGTTCGCCTGTTCACCTGTTCACCTGTCCAGATCTGTCTGAATCGGCAAGAAAAAAATATTTGGTCTTTCATACAAATTTTACCCCGTTTCAGGTTTCATCAACACATAATGCAATGCAAATGAACTGTGTATATGGAACGAGAGTGAAATACTGTGGGAATGTAGTAAAACTGGTCATCTTCATTGAACACACAGCCTTATTTTCCTGACAAAGATATTAGTCTTTCTCAGCACTTCTGGAACCATATTCACTGTGGCTGTCCATTCACCGGTGTGGTAACTTTCAATTAACACACATAAATGAATTTCAATCCTCTTTAACTGTAATTTAACGAACAGTTAGCAACAAGTTCTTAACCGGCAGCACAGTATACTTGCTTCCCCTCACTTTACTAGCAAGAAAGGCAGACGACGAGCAGATTAGTTTCAGAGGTTGAACAACATTGAACCTTTATGTGATGATAACCTGCAGCAACTGTAACAACCATCTTGAGACTGTTGACATTTCAGGGGGTTGACATTCATGACATCATAAGTTTTGATTGGTTGCCGACTTGGCTGTGATGGGTGTTTTTGCAGGTTCTTACTGTGCAGTCATTGGCTTGGTCATTTAGTTTTCACTTCTCTCGCCCTCAGATGTATTTCAACTCGACGATCTCGGACAGCACCAAGCTGCTGAAGCCAGTTTTGGTCTTCGCCTTTGCCATCGCGGCCGGACTCACGGGCCTGACCCAGATTACCCAGTACCGCAGCCACCCCATTGACGTGTATGTGGGGTTTCTCATTGGAGCAGGCATCGCTGCCTACTTGGTGAGTCTTTACCTAGCAGTCGGGGGAGTAGCGCAGCACAGCACAACAGCTGCAGCGGGCAGACATCTCCATCCCCCAGTGCAGAAGGACAGTTTAATCACTGACTGTCATGGCCACTCCTTGAACAGGGAATCTGAGCTCCTTCTGTCAGGACATCAATGTAGACTAGCCAGGCTTAGGTGCAGTAGATCTAAGTTATTGGTTATTCCCACAGCGATTAACCGAGTTAATCTGGAAAACTGATTGTAAATTTAACTTTATTAATTTATAGTTTTTTTTTTCATTATACATGCATCTTACTTACATCCTGAATGGGGCACCAGTCCATCACAGGGCAAGTACAAGTGAAGTGACTCAGTGTTTAATTATGATGATATGTCCTTAAGGTACACAGGACGTAGAATCAAAAGGCACCAGAACACCTTCACTAATTAATAACTAAACTGTATGACAGAGCATTTTGTCACATCACCACCGATGAGCTTGTCCGGCATCTTTTAAGGTTTTTAAAACATAGGAACCATGTTTTTCACTTTTATTAGGGTCACTGAATAAAAGAGCACTGTAATGATGGATTTCATAGACAAAGTACAGGATGGGACTCAAAAGTTCTGATAGTGGACAATCAGATTGACCATCGATCATCGCGGCTGAGCCAGATCTCTTCTCTTCCCTCCTTGCAGGCTTTCCACGCTGTTGCCAATTTCAAATCCTCTGAAGACGCCGCCCGCCGGCCTGCCCGTCCCCCACCCAAGGATGCCCTGCGGGCCCTGACTCAGCGGGGGCACGATTCAGTGTACCACAAGGGCCACGCCTCAGAGAGCAACGACGAGCTGTCGGCTCCCCAGCGCCTGGACGGGATGAACAGACAGGTGCCTCGTGAAAAGGTGTCCCTGGGCAGTCTGAAGCGGGCGAGCGTGGACGTAGAGCTACTGGCGCCCCGCAGCCCTATGGGTAAAGAGAACATGGTGACCTTCAGCAACACCCTGCCGCGGGTCAACACCCCCTCCGCTGAAGACCCAGCCCGCAGGCACATGACCATCCACGTGCCCCTGGACCCTCTCCGCTCCAAGCAGCTGGTCTCCGAGTGGAAGCAGAAGTCCATGGAGCTTAGGAGCATGAGCCTGAGAGGGGAAGAGGGACGAGAGGGAAGCATGGATGGCTCGGATTCGGGAGACGACGGCGGGGAGGAAGAGCTGGTGATGCCCTCTTCCTTGTATCCCACAGTCCAGGCCAGCCGGGCCGGCACCGGTGCCGGCGGCGTAGGCGCCAGGGTGGTGATCCCACCCAGGCCAGGAGCACCCCAGCTGGTGCACATCCCCGAGGAAGCCCCCCCAGTGTCCCCCAAAAGTTGCTCGGGCGCCCGTGCCAAGTGGATTTCCATCGCCGAGAAGACGGGCGGGCCCATCCCCGCCCCCGGGTCCCTGCGCGCCGCCAACCAGCCGCGGATCATGCAGGTCATCGCCATGTCCAAGCAGCAGGGCATGGTCGCCATCTCCCCCAAATCCTCCGAGACCTCCTCGTCGGCCACCTCGACCAGCTCCGAGTCGCCCCACTACCGGCCCCCTTCCGAGCGGGACAGCTCCAGCATCGTCACCGTCGACGCCCACGCCCCCCACCACCCGGTGGTCCACGTCCCCTCGGGCAACGGCAGCCCCTGGGAGTGGAAGGGCAGCGCCAACGGCAGCGCCTCGGAGATCCGCGAGGGCTACGAACTCAACGACCTCAACCGGGAGGCCAGCCGCGGCTACCGGCCGGTCAAGAGCGTCTCCCCAGGATCCTCCGCCAGCGACCCCGACCTGGAGCCCGCGGCCCACTCGGACCTGGCTTCCGAAACCCGGAGCCGGGAATCCACCCTCCGCCGGAAACAGCCCCACCTGGGGCAGGAGCGGGACATCGCCCCTCCTCAGACCGAGCAGGACCCCTTCTACAGGAAACTGCAGGCGGGGTGGCGGTACAAGGAGGGCAACTAAACCTCTGGAAATCACAGGCGGTCTCCCGCTCAGCAGGGAGAACTTTGCACCAAAGTGATCAGGAATACGCGCTCTGCATGGGAAATACCGATCGTCGCCTGGCCAGGCCATGCAGCGGACGCCCCGAAACGGAAATGATTAAGTTAAGGAGACGTGCCTGAGGGAAAGATGCTGTTTCTGATTCAGGTTTTGGTGCAAAGTACAAAAATAGACGTGGCTCTGGGCAAACTTTAAAAACCCTTAAGGGAAAGGTTTGGTGCCGCATTACACCTTTGAATAAACACACAAAGTAAAACAAAATACACATTCATCCTCATATTGTCTCTCTAAGGAATATGAGCACAGCTGGAGCCATACTAGACCTTTCTGTCAGTATTCGGTTGTTTTAAATGCATTTGTAATAGGCGTTTATTGAACTGCTTTCTTTTCTCATGAAGAAATCTTTGGCCTTTGTTTTGTAGTGGCGGTCCTTCCGTTCATTCTTGATTGTCAAGTAGCACGTTGGTGTTTTTTTTTAACAGAAGAAGACTCAGACTTTTTTTAAAAAAAGTTTTATTTTGAGCTGGACTCTTTGCGTTCCCAGTTCTGGTCATTTTTAAAGAAATTCAGACACTTGGACTGAACTTCCCTGACAATTTCAGGGAATAACTGCTTCCTTAAGAGGCAGCTTGTTGGATGAGTCTGCAGCTCCCTGACTTTACCTTTGATGTGGCATCAGGCTTCACATGTGAATCTATTCCAATGGAACATGAATTACAATACAGCTGTCAGTGGACTGGGACAGGACATCTGGAGTTGATGTGTGATGGCCTTACAAGGGAAAACTGAACAATGTAATTGACTGCTGCCCTTTCATGATGCAATAAGTTGGGCACTTTCAGCTGTAATCACTTACTTTAATTACCTTATCTAGCTTAACAATATTAACTGTTTTGGAATTGCTTTAATAAATTGGGCTTAAACACACTATGCAACAAATGCCATACAATTCCAGATGAAAATGATGAAATGAATACAGGTTGGAAAAAAAAGATTGGGCAGATTGGGTTTTGGAATCTGAGTCTGTTTCTCTTTTGAGAACAAAAGAGGGCAAGTCATTTTTGAGGAGTGTAGTGGGAATGAAAACCAGAAAACTCTTCTATCATGTGTGATTTGAAAAAAAAAGAAAACCAAGTGACAACATGAAACATAGCTGTAACAAAAAGGTGACCATTGTATTCAGAATAGCCTTAAGCTTAATGTTATGATTTAAAATGAACCATCTTGTAAAAAATAATCTAAAAAGAAACCTCTTGGCCCACAGTAGATGATGGGGTTTCTTTCCTAGCATCTTTAGCATCTTCTCCGTGAAGCAAATTATTAAACAGTTAGTACAGTAAATCATTTTCAGTGTTTTACGAACAGGCAAAATCCTTGTAGCTCACTTAAACCCTTGAATAATTTGTCATTCGGCACCGTCTGTTGTTTTTAATTGAAGTCTTTCATCAGGGGAATTGCCAATAGCTTCATGATCTCATGATTGCAAGTATTTTTTATGTTTAAGCTATTTGTGGCTGTTGGGAAATTAGTTTTTTTTTACAGAATTGTGGATGAAAAGATTATATGCAGCAGTCAGTGATGACTTATTCCTCTGCTGAAACACAAACATATCTTGGTTCTGTGAGTGACCTAGTCTGAAGGGAAATAAAAAAAAGCCAACTTGTCCATTTCCCTTTCTAAGACAAAATCAGATGATATTTTAGTTTCAGCACTAGTAGATCTCAAGGGACAATTAAAGCCCATTGATAAGACTGAAAGTGTTATTCATAAGTAGGTCAGGATCTGGAATAAATTATGAAAAAGAAATGTCTTATACTGTGTTGCTTTAGAGAGCTGTCTGATCTTCTCATACCCTGGGGAGACTTTCCCTTATGTGAAAAGTTTTGAACTGAAAACCCTACTAGGAAGTATCTAGTATGCAAATTTTTAAATTGAAAGCTTTAAAATGGAATGGATTTATTGCAATTTTAAGCACACACCCCCATGATAAAGACGTGAGCTGGTTTTCTGTGAGTGCAGGTGATTCAATCCTATGTAGAGAGACCTTTTTCTTTCACATAGTCAATAGAATGACTGAAGAATGTTTTTCCAGCATCAAGAAAGTGCAACTTATTGCAGTCGTGAAATCAATCAGGTGGATTAAATCAGACTCGAGCGAGAGGGATAATGACAGTGACCTTCCCAGTCAAAGCAATAGGAGGCAAGTGTAATGGAGTTATTTCTGGAGTTTTTGTTTTGTTTTTGGTTTTCTACCAGTCTCTAAAAGTCTGTGATTGATGTAAAAATCTTTGCAGTTTTGCAGCTGGTCTCCTGCATGTTGTGTATGTGGTGTCAGTTGGAAGTTTTGCTTTGTCAGTAAAGAAGAAGAAAAACAACAACACAAAAAAGACCAAACGGAGAGATCTGTCTGTGGCTGTCAGTAAAATGTTTTTTTGGGGGGTAATGGCTGCCCAGAGGGGTGTCTCAGCTTTTAAAGAGAGGGAGAGTCCTAGTCCTACGTCCTATCTATGACTCCAGTCTCTAAACTGACTGCACAGATGCAGTCTGACCTGAGAGATGGTGAGCCCTTTTGTCATCTTTTCGTTACTTTTTTCCTCTTTTTTTTTTACAAATTTTGCTCACATCCCTTCTGTACCAAATTTCAAGTCTCTCTGAAGATGACCGGATAAGGCATAGAGCAAGTACAGCCCTCCGTGCTGCCATAAGGGTGCTAACAAGTCACAATGACAGTGGAGCATGTTTGATGACTATTTTAATTAAGATTTCTGGCAGCGATTCTTCAGTTGCTCCTGTTTAAGATGCTATTAGTTTGCCATTTTAAATCTGAAGTACCAGGAAAAGAGATGTCAGAGCTGTACTGAGGGTTTCGTAAGACTCCAAAGCTAATCTGATTTCCCTGCCAGGCAATATTTCCAAGTTATTTTCAGAAGGTGATCCTTCTCGTGCCAAATTGTTTGATCAGGATCAGACAGAAAACGCAGAAAGGTACACAGTAATAGATGAAACCGAGCAGAAAAAGATAATAGGATCATTTGTAGCAGGTGTGACACAACCCTGAAGGTGGGCTTTATAAACACCAACTTAAAATTGTAATTTAGGCCAGCCTAAACTGTTAATTGTTAAACTGTTAATTACATTAATCCACAACTTTTGTTCACCGTCCTGTACATTTTTATCCACTTAGGGTTTGGTCTGTTTGCATGTCACACATGAACCTGAATGATGACGAACCTTCAGGTATACGACCACATTGCTGGTCTCATAAC